AAAGGAGACCTAATATAGGGTGATAGATCAATTGGGGGGGGGCATCTGCCGATTCGTTCTCCATTGGGGGGGCATCTGCCGATTCGTTCTCCATGGGGGTCGAAGGGTGCACCCGTGTCTCGCTTTTTTGAGAAAAACCTACATCGAATCATTTATTTTAGATGTATACCAAAAATTATAAAATGTGTGTGAAAAGTTTAGACATCGAATCATTTATTTTCAAAAAAATATGTATTTAAAAAATATTAGATATGAATTTAAAAATATTCTTGCGTGTACTAAAAATGTACAATGTCTAACAAAAAATGTAGGCATTGAAAAAGAAAAGGGGGAAAACAAAGAAAACAAAGGGAAAACAAAAGAAAACCAAATAAAGAAACGAAAGAAGTCTGAAGAGAAAAAATAAAACCAGAAAACCAGAGCAAAAAGAAAAAGAAACAAAGAATACTTGAATTTGCATACTTTAGGTATCTCTAGTGAACGTTGAGTTATTCTTTTAGGGATCTGCCGATTCGTTCTCCATGGGAGTCGAAGGGTGCACCTGTGTCTCGCTTTTTTGAGAAAAACCTACATCGAATCATTTATTTTAGATGTATACCAAAAATTATAAAATGTGTGTGAAAAGTTTAGACATCGAATCATTTATTTTCAAAAAAATATGTATTTAAAAAATATTAGATATGAATTTAAAAATGTTCTTGATGTGTACTAAAAATGTACAATGTCTAACAAAAAATGTAGGCATTGAAAAAGAAAAGGGGAAAACAAAGAAAACAAAGGGAAAACAAAAGAAAACCAAATAAAGAAACGAAAGAAGTCTGAAGAGAAAAAATAAAACCAGAAAACCAGAGCAAAAAGAAAAAGAAACAAAGAATACTTGAATTTGCATACTTTAGGTATCTCTAGTGAACGTTGAGTTATTCTTTTAGGGATCTGCCGATTCGTTCTCCATGGGGGTCGAAGGGTGCACCTGTGTCTCGCTTTTTTGAGAAAAACCTACATCGAATCATTTATTTTAGATGTATACCAAAAATTATAAAATGTGTGTGAAAAGTTTAGACATCGAATCATTTATTTTCAAAAAAAATATGTATTTAAAAAATATTAGATATGAATTTAAAAATGTTCTTGATGTGTACTAAAAATGTACAATGTCTAACAAAAAATGTAGGCATTGAAAAAGAAAAGGGGAAAACAAAGAAAACAAAGGGAAAACAAAAGAAAACCAAATAAAGAAACGAAAGAAGTCTGAAGAGAAAAAATAAAACCAGAAAACCAGAGCAAAAAGAAAAAGAAACAAAGAATACTTGAATTTGCATACTTTAGGTATCTCTAGTGAACGTTGAGTTATTCTTTTAGGGATCTGCCGATTCGTTCTCCATGGGGGTCGAAGGGTGCACCTGTGTCTCGCTTTTTTGAGAAAAACCTACATCGAATCATTTATTTTAGATGTATACCAAAAATTATAAAATGTGTGTGAAAAGTTTAGACATCGAATCATTTATTTTCAAAAAAATATGTATTTAAAAAATATTAGATATGAATTTAAAAATGTTCTTGATGTGTACTAAAAATGTACAATGTCTAACAAAAAATGTAGGCATTGAAAAAGAAAAGGGGAAAACAAAGAAAACAAAGGGAAAACAAAAGAAAACCAAATAAAGAAACGAAAGAAGTCTGAAGAGAAAAAATAAAACCAGAAAACCAGAGCAAAAAGAAAAAGAAACAAAGAATACTTGAATTTGCATACTTTAGGTATCTCTAGTGAACGTTGAGTTATTCTTTTAGGGATCTGCCGATTCGTTCTCCATGGGGGTCGAAGGGTGCACCTGTGTCTCGCTTTTTTGAGAAAAACCTACATCGAATCATTTATTTTAGATGTATACCAAAAATTATAAAATGTGTGTGAAAAGTTTAGACATCGAATCATTTATTTTCAAAAAATATGTATTTAAAAAATATTAGATATGAATTTAAAAATGTTCTTGATGTGTACTAAAAATGTACAATGTCTAACAAAAAATGTAGGCATTGAAAAAGAAAAGGGGAAAACAAAGAAAACAAAGGGAAAACAAAAGAAAACCAAATAAAGAAACGAAAGAAGTCTGAAGAGAAAAAATAAAACCAGAAAACCAGAGCAAAAAGAAAAAGAAACAAAGAATACTTGAATTTGCATACTTTAGGTATCTCTAGTGAACGTTGAGTTATTCCTTTAGGGAAAGAATTGCTGCAGTGTCGAGGAATAATGAGGTTGCAAGTTTAACTATATGCATGCATGCGACATGATGTTAAGGATGCAACTTATTAGGGCATGGCCAAAGCGACGTCTTAACTAGGTGCGGGCAATTCCTAAACGGCGCCCGCTGCGCCCGTTAATGGGTTATAAATGCAAACCGGCGCACACCCCCCGCCAAACTGGGCCGGCCCGTTTAGTTTTTGTTTTTCTACTAAAATAGCAAAAACAAGACGAGGGCGAGGGAGGGTGACTCGAACCTTCGATCTCCAAGTACAAATAAACTGGCGTAACTACACGGGACGCCTCGCCTCTTGTGAAAAGTTGTCCCTTTCCTCCCTTTTCTTCTTTCCTTCTTTTTCTTCTTTCTTTTCTTTTTTCCCTATTCTTTTCTTTCCTTTTTATTAATGTCGTTAACTTTTAAAATACGTGACTATTATTCAAATCGATGATTTTTCTAGGAATTTTTGAACTTTTTTTGAATTGGTTAATTTTTCCTCAAAATTGATGAACTTTTTTGAAATCAATTAAAAAAATTGAAAACTGGTGAACTTTTTCCCGAATTTGTGAACTTTTTTTTAAAATCGATGAACTCTTTTTCAATTTTGATGAACTTTTTTTCAGACTTGATGAACTTTTTTGGAAAATCGATGAACTTTTTAGAAAATAGATGAACTTTTCTTCAATCTGATGAACTTTTTTCAAATTTGATGAACTTTTTTTCAAACTCGATGAACTATTTTCAAGTTGATGATTTTTTTTTTGAAAATCCATGAACTTTTTTAAATTTTGATGAACGTTTTTCCAATTCGACGAACTTTTTTAAAATTCTATGAACTATTTTCAAATTTTATGTTTTTTTTGAAATCCATTATTTTATGGTTCTGTGCTATTAAATAGCGCGGCGACATTGTTTATTAAGCTTTTGTCGCTTATACAAATGACGAAAGTTAGGTAGCTTGAGTGGCTAGTGGGAGTGACGGTGACTTCGAAGTGGATGAGTTCGAGACCTGTAGTTGTGTTTTTTGCGTCTTCTTTTCGAGCTTTTGCGTTCGTTGTCTGCGCGCTTTTGTGGGCCGGCCCAATTAAGCGGCGTAGCGAGCGCCAGGGAGGAGTTCGGGCGCCTGAAGCGCCCGATACCCCTAGGTGCGTGCACTGGCGGAGCTTCCGCAAGGCTGAGTGGGCCGTGGACCGCCCAGGTTTCGAGAAAAACATAATTTATACGAGATCATGATGCCCAGCCGGCCAGCCCACCAGTAGGCAGTAGTGCAGCCCATTATTATAGGAAAATACAGCAACACGCCAACACAACATCAGCCTCGCAACAACAGGCACGGTCACAACATCACCCGCCGGCGGCTGCCTCACAGCCCAGCCACCGGCGCATATCGGTGCCTGCCTGAGCTCCCTCACACCCCACGTCCAGACGGTCCACTGGCGACCCCCGACGACCAGCGCTTAGGGGTCAAGAGCACACCCTCGCACGCACGCAACAGCGAGCCGACGACGGCAGCCAAGCGGCGACCCGACTAAGAAACTCCTTCGAATCCATCTGAATCTGTGTAAGCTGCGCAGGTAAATTGATTTGAATCAATCTCAATTTTATTACCCTAAATTCCAATTAGGCTATCGTTCATTGAATCATCTATATCTATATCTATACCAATATAAAAAGATTCAAAAGGGCAGGTCCAGTTAATCTCGATCATCAAATCATGTCAATCCAATGACTTAGAGTGCTTCAATGTCGAGCGCTCAACATGTTTAGTGTGCAGTTAATTTCATGTCAAATATAGTGCTAATCACATAATAACACGCAAATAATATCTTACTTAATATTCACATGCATTTAATATACTTCCAAATTAACATGCCTCTACTACATGATCTGCTGCTTATCAAGTTGCAGCACCGTAGATCGATGACTGAAAACACCACCGGTTCATGTGCTTATACAATTGCATCAAGCCCCGGTGTAACCGTTTAACTCTTTATATAAGATACAAAAGCATACTCAATACCATATTACCGTCAACTTACAAGGATTGTTTTTAACCCGTACTCCCCTGCCACACCTGCTGCCTTCTTGTTTCTTGCACATCTCCTTACGTCGGGCACCCCCGAGTTTTCTGCAAACCCTGCGACTATCTTCATATCGGACGGGGGATGCCACAAGTTTATTGTATAACCTCGATGCTATGAGTCTACCACAATATATATCATGAGTACGTAACCACCAGTATGTCATGAAGAAGACGAATCCTTGAGGAGGGCGATCGCGCGGCACACCTCCACCATGGTGGGCCGCGCCGGCGGCGAGTGCTGAGTGCACGCGATCCCAAGGTCCATCAGCTCGACGATGACGTTGTTCGCTTGTACCGCAGACAACATGGTGTCCGTGGCCGCCAGCAGTGACTGTGCGATAATGGCGGTGACGTCATGCGGGTGGTGCCGCCTCACCCAGCCATGCAACGTGAGTCCCTCCTGGAAGAGCACATCGGTCGGGCGCTTCCCGGTGATCATTTCTAGTAGCATCACGCCGAAGCTGTACACGTCGCCTTCTGTTGAAGGATGGCCTCCTAGCCCGTACTCTAAAACCACGCAACAAGAACGCCATGATGAAAATGTTAAGAGAAGAACGTCACATGCATTTACGCTACTTATATGTTATGTTCATTCGGTTGTGTTGTAAATTACCTGGTGCGATGTAGCCCACAGAACCTTGCAACAATCCGGCAGTGGAGTTGCAGGGATCGGCAAAGCCTGCGTTGTCGTTGTCGCCCATGTCCTTGACAAGCTGCGCGATGCCGAAGTCAGCCACAATGGCCGTCATGTCGTCGTCGAGGAGCACATTGCTGGGCTTAAGGTCGCAGTGTACCACGCGGACGGGTGCGTAGTGATGTAGGTAGGTGAGCCCCTCGGCTATGTCGCCGGCGATGCCAACCAGCCATGCGACGTCCATGCCACGTCCGGGGCCGCCGTCACGCGGGTAGAGGTGCTTTTCTAGGCTACCATTGGTCATCAGCGGGAGCACGATCGCGTGGAAGTCCGGCTGGCTGCATGTGGTGACCACACGCAGCAGGTTCCGGTGCCGCGTCCGCCTCAGCACATCGCATTCCCGCTTGAAACTCCGGGAGACCTCGCCGCCTCCGGTATTGGGGTCGAGCACCTTGACGGCGACACGCGTGCCGTTGCGGAGCGTCCCCTCGTAAACGCGCCCGAATTGCCCCGCGCCGATCAGCCTTGAGTGCTCGAACCCGGCAGTCGCCTCGTAGAGCTCCCGTTGAGAGATCCTCGGGTAGTCCCCCCTCGTGCTGGGCTCGCATGGTAGCAACGGTGAGTGCCGCCTGTCTTGTCCCACGGCGCGGCACACGGCAAGCCCAATGATTGCCATCGTGAAGCTCGCGACTGTGCCAACGACGAGCAACACCACTCGCCGGTTATGGAGCAAGTTGCGCTTCGCACCGCTGCACCTAGGCAACCCAGGCGTCATCGACGCCGTCCCCGCACATAGTCTGTCATTGCTGAGGAACGCGTCCGCCCGAAATCCTGCAAAGGCTCCGCCGCTCGGCACCTCGCCTGAGAAGTCGTTGTATGAAAAGTTAACACGCAGCAGCGACGCCACCTTCTCCAAGGATTGAGGGAGGGTCCCCGTGAGGCCATTGCAGGACACGTCGAGGTACTTGAGCTCGATGCAGCTGCCGAGCTGCGGTGGGATCGTGCCGGAGAGCTGGTTTGATGACAGGTTAAGCAATTGCAACCTAACCATCTCGCCGATGGTCACCGGGATCGTGCCAGACAGCAAGTTGCCCGCGAGGTTGAGGTTGAGCAATCCGCTCATCCTAGATAAGCCAGCTGGGATCTTGCCTTGCAGCATGTTGTTGGAGAGATCAAGATTTTCCATCGTCACACATTGCACGATGCTCGGCGGAATGGCACCGGTGAGCCGGTTTTGCGAAAAATTGACGAGCCCGAGCCACGGGATCATGCCAAGGGATAGCGGGATATCACCGGAGAGCAGGTTGTTTGAGAGGTGCAGCTGCTCGAGCTGCCGCATGCTGGAGATGCCCTGTGGGATGGAGCCGTTGAGGAGGTTATGGGAGAGGTTGAGGGTGTTGAGGTTGGTGAGGTTGGAGATGTTTGTCGGGATCGGGCCAAAGAGTCTGTTAAACTGAAGGTGGAGCTGCATGAGGCCGGGAGCGAGGCGATCGACGACAGGCGGGATCGTGCCGGCGATGTCATTCCCGGCGACGCCGAGCTCCTTTAGGGCGGTGCAGTTGGTAAGCGAGGCGAAGAATGGTTCGAGGCCGGTGTTGTTCCGCGAGTTTGCGAGGTGGTTGAACGACAGGTGCAAATACTCGAGGTTGCTCATGCCGCTGAACATGTCATCCCGCGGCAGCTCGCCGATGAGGAAGTTCGATTGCAGTAGCAGCCATCGGAGCTTCGTTGAGTTTGACAGTGAGCGGGGGATGACGCCATGGAGTTTGTTGGACCGCAACACGAGGGATGTCAGCTCAGGGAGTGGGCAATCCGCTCGGATGGGGATCTTGCCGCCGAGAAAGTTTGACGACATATCAATGTAGTGCAAGGCGGAGAGGTTGCAGAAGATAGCAGACGGGATATGCCCGGAGAGGTTGTTGTCGCCGAGATTTAGGTATACCAAGCGCCGAATATGCGAGAGCTCCACCGGAATCGATCCCTCCAACTGGTTTCCGCTGAGGCTGAGCTGCGTCAGCCGAGAAAGCTTCCCGAGCTCCTGCGGCACCGCCCCAGCGAAGACGTTCTCGGAGAGATCGAGGATACTGAGTCTCGAGAGGTTGCCGATCTCCGGCGGGACCGCCCCGGTGAGCGTGTTCGACGACACATCGAGAAACTTGAGGCGGGATAGGTTGCCAAGCTCCGGCGGGACCGTCCAGGCGAGCATGTTCAATGACACGTCGAGAAACTTTAGGCGGGAGAGGTTACCGAGCTCTGGTGGAATAATCCCGGAGAGCATGTTCAAGGACATGTCGAGAAACTTGAGGTAGGAGAGGTTGCCGAGCTCCGGTGGGACGCTGCCGGTGAAGTGGTTGCCGGAGAGGTTGAGTGTCCTGAGGTGCGAGAGGTTGCCAAGCGCGGGCACGACCCTGCCAGAGAGCTTCTGTTCACTTAGTATTAACTTGACAACATGGCGCTCCGTGTCGCAAGCAACACCGGTCCAGTTGCACACGTCCGGCGAGCCCCAGCCGGCGAGCGCTCCATTGGGGTCGCCGGACACGCCGGCCTTGAAGGCCAAAAGCACGGAGCGGTCGTCCTCTTCTCCCAGGAGAGCTGGGCTTGCGGTGTGGAGGAAGAAGAAGAGGAGAAATGTGAGGATGGGGGCCGTGATTGGCCTGGCCATGAGATGAGAGCACGCGCCGGGTAGCTTGGAGCTGGTGGTCGAGCTCGGAATCAGATCGGAGCTAAGCAAAATGGGTCGGTGATGGTTAGAGCAAGATTTGCTGCACAGCGCGGGCAGGGTTTTATAAAGGTTGGAGATCGAGCGCCGTGCCTAACTAATTTAGGGTTTGGATACGATCTGCATGCATGGCTGTGGGGCCGGCCTGGTGGTTTGGATACGGTCTCACGGGATATCTAATCCACGGATGCGACTAATTAGCGTACAAAAATGCTACAATTAGCGTCTCAACGGCTAATCATGCATGCATGTATGTGTGACTCCACGGGTATATGTAAGCTTAAACTCGACTCCCCTTTCCCCAACATATAGGATTTTTTTATGGCCTTCTACGTATGACTTTGACTACGTACAAGTCTTATGGGGGTAAACTTGACTTATCAATGATATTCAGTATCTAAGAACTAACCCTGGTTAGAGGCTGGATGGTTAGGAGGACCGTGGTTTCTAGCACATCAAGGTTTAAATCCTAGTGCTTACATAATTTCTGGATTCATTTCAGGATCTTCGGTGATGCGCGTTCGGTGGGAGAAGACGTCCTCAATCTCTCGTAGGTGGTCATAGGGGTAAGGTTTGCGTGTGTATTCATAGAAATGAGTGTATGCGCGCATATATGAGCGCATGTGTCTATACTATGTTCTATAAAAAATGATATCTAGTATCTTACCGATGTTTATGCTTTCCTTTGAGATACACAAAGGGGTAATGAAAAGATTGGATTATTATTGATCCAGATTTCTCTGGCAACGTGATGTAAAGGAAAAAAGTAAAAAGTAACGAGCTAAGTGGGATAGATATCGAGGACCTGGAAATTAAGAATAAGTGCCTACCTACTACTTCCTTCGTTTTTATTTACTTTACATATTAGCTTTGTCTTGAGTTAAACTTTGCAAACTTTAACCAAGTTTATACAAAAAAAATATTACATCCACAATATCAAATCAATATCATTAGAATCATCATTGAATATATTTACATACCATGTATAGTATTTGTTACTGTGAAAGTTTAGATTATTTTCTAAAAACTTGGCCAAATGTTTATAAAGTTTGACTTAAGTCAAAGCTAATATGCGGGTAAGTAAAAATGGAGGGAGTAAATGGTTGTTTAAGATGCTTAATGATGGGTAGGGAGGGGGAGTTTGGCATGAGTTGCTTTGTAGCAAATACCTCAAATGGAGGGAGTAAATGGTTGCCATTAAAAACAAGATATTCATGTGGTACTTGGACAGAAATGTGGTTCTCAGAAAATAGAATCTGGCCAAACGGAGATAGAGGGCTCCAAGAAGTGTGAGCTTTTGTGATAATAAGGAGGAAACAACTCAACACTTATTTTTGACCTGTCCTTTTACCACCATACTCTAGCCAACCGTCCATGTGGCCTCTAATTCACCCGCTTCAACAAGTATACCAAATTTGTTTGAAAACTGAATGACATGGGTTGCGCTTTAGTTTGGGCCATCTGAAATTGCCGGGCTAATTATTATTTTTAACATGTCAAAACTTCCAAAAATAATTGCAGTTATCCTTGGAGCTACCAGGTGGATCCATATGTGGTGTTCCCTGCGTCATGTGGAGGCATGGACGGCCATGGCTTTGTGGTGTAGCCAATGAGAGATGGTCACTTGGGTTATATTCAACCAGTTTGGATGATGGTCCTGTAGTAGGATTTGTGAATGAGTCATGCAATCCTATTCTAGGCGATTGTGGCACCACTTGTTTTTTTTTCTTTTATTGCAAGATTGTATGGATGTTTAACTTTCCTTTAATAAGATGGTTGTGTGCATCAACCGCTGTAGAGGCCCGGAATATCCCTTTCCAAAGAAAAAAAAGTCTAATTAAGATCTGATAGTTCGATCGTAACTTTGTATGGTTAGCATTCTACTACCTTTCCTTATCTTAATAGCGAGGAGGGAATCATCTTTTGGAAGAAAAAGAACATCGGAGAAATCAAATGTTTCAGATATGAGTAATCTGATAGCGTTAGTTACCATCACATCAACCTTTGCTTATTGCTTCTCTACCCGCAACGATCCCCAAAGTACCTTAATATGATGTGTCATGATAGCATGCATGGTCAATATTCCAATGTTGCTTCAGATACCAGGCTCAAAGTTTGTTCTTTCGGTTAAGTTAATCATGTTTGGGTCACAATCTAAGTCTGAACAGATACGCACAGATCACACTTTGGCATCATCAGGTAGAATTGTATATCTTATGTTAATATTCTGAAGCCCCTTTACTGTCAAAATTGAAGAACTCCATAACTTTAGTAAAATGGTTGAGGTAACAATCTTTCTTGAGCAGAACCAGTGTGTGTTGACTGCTTTCTGCTACATATCCTGAATCTTTTTACGACCGCTTTCTGCTACATATCCTGAATCTTTTTACGGCCGCTTTCTGGTACATATCCTGGATCTGACTTGTTAAAGCTAGCAAGCGTGTTGATGGAAAAGCCAACCGAATACTCTTTTGTGGTAAAGAGTATTGAAGTTCTTATCGAATCTACAACAACACTAAACTACATTCCTGGTCGTGAAAGGAGACGATCAATCAAATCATCAGATGCGACAAAAACAGTGCCGAGCAAATGTTAATTAACTTGTTTATGTCAATTTGGTCGTGAAAGCACCGAAACAATGACCTGACTCGAGATCCTTTTGCTTTTATCTTTGATGAGTGACGATGGTCGGGCATAGCCGGCTAATGGAGTCCAGCATGCATGCTTGCTAAGGGCATGACTGGAGGATTAACAACTCAAAGAATTCACAAGTAGTCGTTAGTAGGCAATCCCCAACCATCAGTAAACTAACTAATGTTCACCCTTTCTACAAACAATAATTAGTAAACTAATGTTGTATTAACCGCCAGAGGGGTGAGATGAGAGAACACCAAATGCGCCACGAGGAATTAACACAAGACCGACTAATCGATCGAGCGCGTGCTCTAGTATTCCTTTTCCCCTCAATTACTTTCCGTGTAGTAGTCATTGATCAATTTGATGGGTGTTAATTATTAACACGAGTTGGACGACAACTTTGTGGTCGTCGTTGACAACAATCGGTCATGGAAGATGACGTCCGTCGGCCCCATCACGTACAGCAGCGTCACGCCGATGAATGCTCTTCAAATCCGTACCCAACACCCGGGGAAATTAGCAGTTTATCACACGATTAATGTAAGATTCATACATAATATATAGTACCATATCGATCATGAACAATTTGCATGCCACGTGACATAAAATGTGTCTACTCTACTTGCGGATACGTGCGTATATGCAGACTCTTGTATTGTATCACCTCTGTTTTTTAATGTAACACGTTTTGGCAGTTCAAATTTGAATTGAACTGCCAAAACGTCTTACATTTAGAAATAAAGGGTGTGTGTATGAATGCATATGCAGATGCACGCTTGTATGTGTGTGCACGTCACGTGCTAGGTGCGACGATGTAGCCAACTGAACTTTGCAACAGTCTGGTGGTGATGGAGCGCAACAGGATCATCGCTAGTGTTGCTGCTGGTTTCGGTATTATAGTAACTGCATTTGTTCTTTTCTGCTTTGCAGGTTTCTAAAAGCCCGCCTATGAAAATGTGCAAAGAAGTTAATGTGAAACCAATGATTCTTCCAACAACAAATCCTTTTGACTTGGGCAGTCACATATAGGCATCGTTTTCATGGAACTGGATGGTAATTATTGCTTGATTTCTAATTGGAGTTATCATTTGTGATGTTAAGCCCATGGTTAACGCTTTAATTATCCTTGGTATAGCAGTACTTGTGCGACTTGACATGTATAGCTTATGGTCAGAGTGCATGATTGGGCTGAATTATTTTGCTATTTTTATTTATGGGTACATTTCATGTTTCTGTTTTTCTTAAATTTCCCGAATTTCATGGACTCTCGAAGGACATGTATACACATTTCAATTAATTTTGAACTTAAATGAAGTTTGTGTAAAAAGAATCGGAGTAGGTTTGCATGTTTTTTGACAATATAAGTTTTCTAAGAAATTTGGCAGTTTCCTGCCAGTCCCCCAAACTCACATGGTGATCTTCCCGTGGTGCGAGAACACCCCGGGCGGCCATGGAAATCCCCCTCAAGGGGATTAGAGCCCTGAGATACTTTCCCCTTACAACCAAACGAGGCCTAAGCGGGAGATGGTCTTGCCTATGAAGCACAACCCATGATGAAGAGAGGATCGATTCAGGCCGATGTCGCATAGAGCCATCCGACCAAGCCAATGGTTGAAACCAACCCGAGTATGGTCTCGACCATCCAAAGGTGGTTCTTTAGGAAAATGAAACACATTATTTTTTTCTCCAGAAATAACAGAAAATCAAAAAGATGATGAAGACTATGAGACTTTTTTTTGAGAAACATGTGAGATGTTTCCTACTTGCCCCTTATTCAGGTAGAGCGATTGGCCCAGCCCGTTTAGCGTATCCACATATATTTTTGGAACCTTCCGAAGGGGTTGGTCTGGTTCAATTCCGATTTTTTTTTTCATGTTGTTTCTTTTCACAGGTTTTCTTCTTTTTCCTTTAATTTTTTTTCTTTTTACAGGAAT